CAAGATGTATGTGTGTTTGAAAGCAGTTAGTGATGGTTGGAAAAAAGGATGCAGACCAATATTTGGGGTTGATGGTTGTTTTCTTAAGGGAATATACAAGGGTATATTGTTATTTGCTGTTGGTAAAGATAGAAATAATCAGATGTACCCAATTGCATGAGCTGTCGTTGAGTCAGAAAACAATGATTATTGACAATGGTTCATGGAAAAGTTTGCACATGATTTAGAGTTGGGCGATGAACAGGGTTACACCATGATTTTTAATAGACATCCAATAAATATTTATCACAATTATTATTAACTTTTTATGATTAGGGACATATGTGTTTATTATAATAATTAATTTCATTTTGTTATTGTGCAGGGCATTATTAATGAAAAGGTAGAGGTCTTACCATTGATAATGCATAGATATTGTGCAAAGCACCTCTACTGCAATCTTGCAAGGCGAAATAAAGGTGATGACATCACGCTTGCATTTTGGTTGGCATGTAGGGCAACCAATGAGTTCGACTATCTGGACAAAATGGATGCTTTGAAGGCATTGTCTAAGGAGGCTTATGTTGAACTGAATGAATTGCATGGTAATTTCTTGTGCAAAGCCTTTTTGGATGAGCATTGTAAGTCTGATGTGGTTCATAATAATATGTGTGAGACTTTTAATGCATGGATTTTGGGTGCAAAATGCAAGACCATTATTTCAATGTTTAGGACTTTAATTGACCAGTGATGGAGAGATTTAAAGACAAAAAGTTGTTTGTTGATACATGGGCAACTAATATTGCACCTAGAGTTCTGAAGAAAATTAATGATAATAATAACCTGTCAATACAATGCAATGTTCGGTGGAATGGTGACAACAACTTTGCTGTGTTTGATTAGCATACACAGCATACACATGTGGTCAATGTCTAGGAAAGAAATTGCTCATGTAGAGAATGGAACCTCATTAGAATTCCTTGCCCACATGCTCTTTGCACATTCAGATTCAAGGATTAGAGTTTTGAGTACTTTGTTGATGAGTACTACAAAAAGGAAAAGTACCTTTAAACTTATGGGACAACACTGGAATGCCTAAGAGGGAATGAAGTGTTGAAAAGGAGGCCAGAAGGAGCATGTTTGCCACTGGAGATGAGATCAATGCTAGGGCGCCCTAAAAGGAATATAAGAAAGGCAAAAGATGAGCCTAAGAAAATTAAGAAGGGGAAATTGACCAAGTTATCAAAGCATGGATCTGTGTACATTTGTAGTGTGTGTAGTGAACAAGGGCACAACAAAGCTGGATGTCCACACAAAGACAAAGAAGAAGTAGGCCCTAGTCAAACCAAGGTAACTTTGCTATTACACTTTATTTGTACAATGTTATACTTTATTTATGCAAGAAAACTTTGACATGTTAACTTTATTTAGTAACAGGTCAAGAAAACAGGTAAAAAGAATTCAAAAGTAGCAAAAAAAAACACCAAGGTTGGTAAAAAAGGTGATGTTGTCTGTTTGGGAGGGGTTGAAGGAAGAATAACAAGCAAAGCAAAACAAAAGATTAATGATAGTGTAAGAAAAAAGGCAAAACCATAAGTTAAGGCCCCTGAACTAATCCTTGAATCGCTATTAAGCCCCTAGACTTTAATTGATGCAGTTAAGCCCTTGAACTCTGGGATCAAAGCAATTAAGCCCTTCTTCTTACACTATTAAGCCCTTAGACTTTAATTTTTAAAATAAATTGCTTAAGAAGAAGGGCTTAATTGCTTTGATCCCAGAGTTCAAGGGCTTAACTGCATCAATTAGAGTCTAGGGGCTTAATAGCGATTCTGGGATTAGTTCAGGGGCTTAACTTATGGTTTTGCCAAGAAAAAATAACAATATTT